GAGTTCGAAGTGGTAAAAATGTGGGAAAGAAGGAGAAGGCCCGTTTATATAGTACCTGTCCCCATCATTGGGTATGAAGCACAAAGGGGCGCATTTAATGCGCACGACCTCCTAAGCGGCGAAAAATGGCTAGAAGCAATGATGGGGTGGTTGGGGCAGTTGTAAAATCCTTCATCTTCTTACGACGCGTGTCCTCGGTGTCAGAAGATCGAAGGCTGGGGGACAATTGATGGGACATTTTTAGATACTCTAAGATGACGACACGTGTCCTCGGCGTCAATGGATATTCGCCGATTAGATCACGACACGTGCGCGTCGGTTCATAATCCCCCTTCCCCCGAGGATACTATTCACAGGGATCAAGGATCCCCAGTATGTCATAGACCGACACGTATCTCTCGGTCAGTTTTGGGTACATCGGCCCCTAGCGACGCTAGACCCTCGGCACTGAGGTATATCCGTCTACAAAGCATTTCTGCTCCTGCAGGACTATTGATGGACAGATCACTAGTTTAGGCTAGGCTAGACTAGCCATCATGACCCCGTCTTACTCAAATGGTGTCAGGAGACATAAGAAAGCAGAAGACTCAATCAAGGGAAAATGGGCACGTGGCGTATTGTGTTAGATCAGAGATAAAAAGACCAGAATGTCCTTGCTGACACACGACTTGGGAAAGCAAGTATTTAATGCACCATTTTCTTGATGAGACAGTATTTAATGCATGAGAGCCTGGAAGTAAAAGGTAATAAATGTCCCGAAGCCTGGGCATTTAATACACCCCCGTCGAGGAAAGATTATTAAACATTCGGCAAGCCGAGGAGAAAGCATTAGTTACTCGGGGTCCTTAGCAGTTAAGAATAAGAACACTACTCATAGAAATTGGTGTGCACACTGTCCACCTCCAATGATTACCTACTAGCTACGCTGTCAGCAATGATGAATTTTTAAGGTATAAATGGTCTTCACAAACACATAAAAGAGGTACGCAAAAAACCCTTTCTCAAGTATCATACAATGTTTTCTTCTTCTCATCTTTCAAGAAACTGACTTGATCGTCGGATAAGATATGCCGAAAAACACTCCGGCGCCCTTCTAACATGTTTTTTTTTGTTCCAGGAACCTCTCTTAGCCTTCAAGGGTCACTCAGGCGACCCCTAAAAATAATTCGTCACCACTTCATTGGCCATTTTTTGGCCCTCACAACCTGTTTCAAGTAGCAAGATTGACCATTCGATTTGACGGACTCGTATTCACCACAGAAGAGATATGTTTTCGTGTTTATATTGTACAGAATCGTGTACGCACATCAGACATGGATGTCACTTGAAGATGTGAAACTTTTCAAAGCAGGAAAAACTATGACAATTGCCACTACACCAATAAAGATTTCTAATAAATGGTCAAATATAGACTTCAATGCTAAGTTTACTCAATACTAGGTCCAACATAAGACAAGACTGAGTTTGAAAGAACTTGAAGAGAAGATTTATCCTTTCTCTGATACTTAAATTTCTGATATCTTTAATTAATTGCTCAAATTAAAATTGATTGAGTTCCCAATGCCTAAGCGACCAGAAGAAGTAAGAATGATTGATAATCTAAAATATTACAAATATCATTGAATTATTAGTTATTCTTTTGAGTTTTCGTAGTTGTCCTATCTAGTTTAGATAATGCTCCTTTGCTATTCTTAGAGACGGTGTTCCCCAAAATTGACAACGTTCTACACACTAATAATATCATTTAGTGTGTGAAACAATATCACTTTGGGGAATGACGTGTGTTGGACTATAGAGGAACTTATCTTAACTAGCACGGATAACGCTCCTTTACTATTCTTAAAAGTAGTGTGCTCCAAAACCACGTTATTTTACACATAAATAATATTATTTCATAGCGTGCGTGTTGTACTGCAGAGGATCATGCCAATCTAGCTGTCTACCTCGGGTGTCCCATCCCCTAGTTCCCCTCTATCCTATTTTGCTTCTTACTTGTTTTAGTATCTAATGCTTGGGGGCCCAAAAACATGAAGGTCAGTCCACTTTGTTATTCCCCAGCAGGAGTGGGACATGTACCTCCTTATGTTTTCTTCGCTCAAGACAAACCAGCAATGGAAGCATTCCGGCTGTGTCAAAACCATTATTAGACCTTGGTGGGACTCTAACATACGACAGATTAGGTTAATGTTTTGTGAAAATGTGTCCAAATAAAATGAATATCAACTTTAATATTTGATTCGTTCGAACTGAAACAATGAATTGATAGTCATGGAAATAACACTTGTATTGTCGTAGATTAACATTGTACGACATAATGAGATACCATGTTTTTGAAAAAAACAAATAATGTAACAGTAAATGACTTGAATTTTTTTGATTAGTGTCATGTCATTTGGGTTTCAATAATAACTTCAAATAATCAACTGACATGTCATTTGAATTTTAAATTTGATTTTAAAATTTTGTCAGTCTAATATTACTCATAATCTAAATGCGACATTACGATCCGCTAGAGTGGAAAATAGTGGCTTGTTTCTTGAAACTTGAACAATGACAATTGACACTCGAATAGTACAAGATCCAGTAAAATGTCTCTTTGTTAGAAAAATCATAGCGTCAAGACCTGAATTTTAATCTAGTGTACCCCAATGGTATAGTAAACTATATGTTTCATAGCTTGCAATAAGAGAACCCCTTTGATCAAAAAAATAAATAAATAAGGGAACCCAATGAGGCAAAAAAATTGAGTTCATTATGTTTCGTTCGAGTGTTAAACACTGGATTGACAGTCACTGCGAGAACACTTGTATTTTTACATAATAAATACCAAGTAATTAGTAGCAGAAATCAATGAGTCACCAGAGAAAGTCAAATTAAGTTTTTTCCCTTGAATTATCTTATGGAGGTGATTATGTATTATATGATTAGGTGGTTATCAATTTTAGTAAGATTCAATTGCTGACTTGTTTACTAATTAGTGGATAATTATACTCTGTGACATTACTGACGTGGTGTAACGGTTATCCCTAATATTTTTTTCCCTCTTTCGTCCAATGTTTTTCCTCCTTCACGGTGTTAAGAACTTGGCTTTGTTCGCTAGACAAATTCTCCATGAATGATCTTGTTTCATCTCACGTAGTTGGAAAAAAGGAAAAGGAAAAAAGGATAAAGGAGAAAGGAAAAAGGAAACTTGCAAGTTGGTCTTTACATATTGATGTACCAACCTTGCACTTTATTTAAGGTCCCATGGCACATGTATCATTAATGTGCTACACTTTTTTCTGTAACATAATTTTGTAATAAAAAAATAGTATTTGAATTTAATTTATTAATTTAATTACTCATAATTATTAGATTGATAGTGAACTCTATTATTTATTAGAATTTGCCACAAATCTAATAATTGTGATAAATTAATTTAATAAATTATATCAATAAATTAAATTTAAATAATATTATTAATGTCAAAATGGAAGAACTTTCTCTAGAAATCGCTCCTTTCAGTAACACCAGCGACTCTTACTTCGACCAAGTAAATAGAAATATAAAAATGAATACTAATAATATGATTTTTTTTTTCAAATAAGAAAGAAGATCTAAACATTCATTTAGTGCATCTTACCTAATTCACCCGCTTGAAAATAAAATAAAAAAAATATATAGGAAAAACCATTCTTTTTTGGGCGGGCATTAAACTACTCCATGAGCGGCTACCAATTCTAGTGTTTCTCACCCGAACTAGGTAAAAATATTGATTATTTGTGCATGTCATCGAAATAGATTACATAGAGAATGATCGATCTATCTTTAATACATTAATTAATCCTTTAACCATTATATAAAATTAAAAAGAAGAATAATCAAAATATAGATAATAAATAAAAGTAATCAAACAATGCACAAGCAGCTTTTATCACGATTTCATGTCCTCTTTATTCGAGGTTTCATCGCACATGTCAGTCAAGTGTCAGACGCTGTCAAAGGATTTTGGAGCATGTGACTGAATGTGGAAGTCGGCATATAGATTAGTCCTTCCAAAAGTCTAACACTCGCCCCCAAAACCGTAAGCTAAAACAGTAATATTATGTTTATTAAATTTTAAAATTAAATTTAAAATTTAAATAATATGACAATTGACTTTGATGTTTTTATCTGAAATTATATTATTTAAACTCTAATAAAAATTTTAAATAATATACTATCATATCATTTAAACTCTAAATTTTATATCAAAATTTAAACAGCACAACGTTACTGAAGCCCAAAACAAGGCCATGTTGCGGTGGCTGTGATGCCCTCTTTGATTGTTAAAGTCATAGAAAAAATAAAAAAAGCCATACATTTCACTCTTATCTTTTTTCCAAACACTAACATTTATCTCTTTGGATAAGGCCAAACAATCCAATCAATAAGAGATGAAATGATATGGCTTAGATTTGTTTATTTTTTTATTCGCTTTCAATTCAATTTTTGGTCCAAATCTTAAGAGTTTTTTTTATTTAATTTTGAGTAATACTACTATAATCTAAAATAAATCTAATTTCTTAAATATAAAACGTTATAGTCATAATAATATTATTAGATTATATCACTGCTATTTCGATCTAAAAATATAATTTAATTTGTGAACTTAATGATGTAATTTCATTAAAATCATTGAATTAACGTTAAATTTTAATATTTGATGGGATCCACAGTCAATCCAAGTATTATAATAAATTAGATCAACAAATTAAGACTCAATAACATCACTTTTTTTTAAATCTCAATAACATTATTCTTTAATCTTTGAGTAATATTATTAAACGTAATTTGTTGACTTAATTTATTATACTATTAAATTGATTGTAAATTCTATTAAAATAAAATTATATTATTAAATTAACAAATTAAATCTGATTTTTAAATCATAATTACATTGAACTTAATAGCACTTCGCCTTATATAAACCCACGTATACATATACACACACAATTAGACCCTCGTAGAGAACTCATCGCATGGCTAACCATCACCACCACTACCAGCAAAACCATAACCAAAATGGCCAAAAACATGGCCAAGTCATTGTGGTTATGGTACCTTTTCCAGCACAAGGCCATCTCAACCAGCTTCTCAACCTCTCCCGCCTCATCTCCTCCTACGCCATACCGGTCCACTACGTCGGCACCACCACCCACAACCGCCAAGCCAAGCTTCGCGTCCACGGTTGGGACCCACTCTCAGCCACCAACATCCACTTCCATGAATTCCCAACCCCTTATTTTCCCTCTCCACCACCTAACCCTACCGCTTCAGTCAAATTCCCCTCCCACCTTCAACCATCATTCAACGCATCATCCCACCTCCGCAACCCTGTATCCACCCTTATCCGGACACTCTCCGTCACCAGTCGGAGAATTATCGTCGTTCATGACTCTCTAATGGGTTCGGTGGTTCAAGACGTTGCTTCACTCCCTAATGCCGAGTCTTACGTTTTTCACAGTGTCTCTGCTTTCACTATGCTCTTCTTCTTATGGGAACAGATGGGAAGACCTTTTGCTGTTGATGCCGAAATGCTCAAAGACCTCCCTTCCCTCGAAGGCTGTTTCACATCAGAATTTTTAAAATTTGTAAACACTCAACATGGCAACGTGAAAATGAACTCTGGTCGTATTTATAATACATGCAGATTAATAGAGGCTCCCTACCTTGATTTACTTTCAAAAGAGCAGATCAGTAGAGGAAAGAAGCAGTGGGCTCTTGGTCCCTTCAATCCTGTGGCAATAACCAAGAACAAGAAATCAAGTCAAATGCATAAGTGTTTAGGGTGGCTTGACAAACAATCTCAAACTTCAGTGATTTTTGTTTCTTTTGGAACCACAACTTCATTAACAGATGAACAGATCAAAGAGCTAGCGATTGGGTTAGAGAAAAGTGAGCAAAGATTCATCTGGGTGTTGAGAGATGCAGATAAAGGAGATGTCTTTGATGGAGAGAGAAGAAGAGTTGAGCTGCCAAAAGGGTTTGAAGAGAGAGTGAGAGGACAGGGATTGGTGGAGAGAGATTGGGCGCCCCAGTTGGAGATTTTGGGCCACCCATCAACGGGTGGGTTCATGAGTCATTGTGGGTGGAACTCATGCATGGAGAGCATCACCATGGGAGTGCCCATAGCTGCGTGGCCAATGCACTCAGACCAGCCGAGGAACACAGTGCTGATAACGAAGTTGTTGAAAGTTGGAATAGATGTAAAGGAGTGGGCTCGTAGGGATGAGCTAGTGAGTTCATCCATGGTTGAAAAGGTTGTGAAGAGGTTGATGGTGGAGGAAGAAGGAGGTGAGATAAGGAAGAGGGCGGCGCAGTTGGGTAGTGCCGTCCGGCTGTCGGTGGCCCATGGAGGTGGTGCTCGGATGGAGTTTGATTCTTTTATTGCTCACATTACGAGATAGGATTTGCCCAGCAATTGGATTTCCAGATATTTCTATACAGGAAAAATATTTATGCTATTTGAATGTTAATAAAAGTTGTAAGACATTGTTTCTTATGAATTGAAGGAACCAAAGTCACTCGTAACAACCTCCACAAATTAGTTCAATTTTTAATTTTCTAATAACGTTTACTCATTTAACTCCAAAGATAACATAACTAAAGAGACGAAAGAAAAACTTAGACGCCTTAAATTCTTCTACGCGGATGACTTATTTTTCATTGATTCTAAAAAAGGATTAGTAATATTATACTTACTAAATTTTGGGATCAAATCAAGAGCCCAAATGACATGACAACATATTATTTAGAGTCTTTATTGGGACCCAAATGACATGACACCAAATAAAAAATTCAAGTCAACTATTATGTCATTTGGACTCTTGATTTGATTCTCAAATTTAATCAGTGTAGCATTTTTCAAAAAAATTAGTTAACGTGTACGTAAGTTAGCCTAAACACTTCTAACCGCTAAAATAAAAAAAAATAATAATTACTCATTTCAAATCAGTCATAAGGCATGCCCCAATAAAATTTGAGGCCTAAGCAAAAAATTTTAAATAGATCTTTTTAAAATATTAGTTGGTGTTTAGATAAGTATCTTGCACGTAAACTATTTTAAAGTTGACATATCAAATACTTAAGCCATAGACCCACTCAAAATCCACAACTTTGGTTACAATTGTGATTAATTAATCAACGACCACAGTCTATAAGAAAACCCTAAAAGTTGCCAGATTTTAAAAACTAAAAGAAGGCATTCTTCAAGTGTTTGAGTCACCACCAGCCAGCGAGGTGAAAAAGACGTGTTTAATTATAAAAATAAATATGAGCAAAAGGGATGTGACATTGTAATTTACATAACAATACAAGTAAGCTCGAAAAGACTTGATTATGTTACCAAATTTTTTTTTTTTTTTGATATTTTATTAAAATTAATTATATTTGTGAATATTTTTATTATTGTTATCGTTATATTTATCATTGTTATATATCTAAAAAAGTTATAACAATGATAAAAATACTTAAAACAGTAGTAAAAAGTCCCACAAAAATATAATTTTTTTTGTATTAAAAAAAATAATAAAAATAATTATCACAACAGTGGTAAAAAATTCACAATTATAATAAAAACACTCATAGAAGTGATAAATCACCTATAAAACTAATAATTTTTTTAATTATAAAATTATCCATAAAAATTATATAAATACCGTTTAAAATAGTAAATTTTGGATGTATCACACCAAATAATTTTTTGACTATATTGTAGTCAAGTCCCATAATGTAAGGCAAGTCTGCCTGTTTCACTCTTTGTAAGCTCTACACAGAAAGATCAATTACAATCCTTTACTCTATTATACTATAATAATTTAAAGCGTTATGCAAATACCATTAAAGTATTTATTTACTTTATCATGATATGTCTATATATATATATATATATATATATTTTAGTTATTGTTTATACTTAAAGTGCAGATTAATAAAAAAGTAGTTAATAATAAAAATATTTATATTTACACTCAAAATCAAATCATAAATATAAAGGAGAGAAAAATAATTTAAACACGGATTTTAGTGGGGGTGAGCGATGGTCGTGGAAGATAGTGATGATTGTGGTAGGTAATGACAACCGTGGTGATGGTGGTGGTGATAGCCGTGAGTAACAACGATGATGGTGGTGGTGAGTTTTGAGTGACGGTGATAGATGTAGCCATGGGTGACGGCAGTAATGGTGGTGTTGGGTGTGGGTGTGAGTAGTGGTGGGTGATGGTGATGGTGGTTAGCAATAGAGGTGTTGGGGCGATGACGGTGGTGGTGGGTTGTGGTGGGCGACGATGGGTGCTTCTGAACTACAATGTGATAAATGGTGGCAAATGATGGTAGTTGTGGTAGGTGTGGTGGGGGTAGGTGACAGTGGCTAACAACGACAATGGGGAGCGACGGTTGGTAGTATGGTTATGATAGTGGATGGCGATAGGTGATGGTGAACAACAATGTTAGTATTGAGTGCTGATGATGGGCTATGGTGGTAGTGGGAAGATAATGGTAGTGATAATAAATATAAGAATGAGATGACGATAATGGTGGCACTGGACGACAGTGGTAGCAATTGGTGGCAGGTGGCGACAGTGGTGTGGGTGGCAGTGTAACAGTGACGGTGATGGTCGGGTAGTAGTGGTGGCGATGGGGTGGCAGCCACGACGGTGGCAATGGTGATGGTCGTGGGGGTGGTGGTGAGGCAATGGAGGTAGTAGGTGTGATGGTCGTAGGGGTGATGGTTATGGGGGTGATGGTCGTGAGGGTGATAGTGGTAGAGATAATGGCGGGACAGTGATTGTAGCGGTAGGGTGCTATAGCGATGATGAGGATGATAGTGGTGGTGGGAATGGTGGTGGTGGCGGTGGTGGTGGTAGTGGCAGTGGGGGATGGTGGTGATAGTGGTTGTGATGGGATAGTGACGGTGGTGGTAGATTGGTGGCAGTGGTGGTAAGGGTCGTAGTGATGAGACGATGGTAGTTGTGGTAGAGGTGGTAATGACAACGATAGTGGTGGTGGTTATGGTAGAGGTGGTGATGGGGGTAGGAGTGGGGCAGTGGGAATGGGGGTAGTTGTCGTGGTGGGGTGGTGATGATGGTGTGGTGGCAGTTGTAGTGGTGATAGTGGTTGGGCGTTGGTGGTGGTAATGGTAGTGGTGAGGCGGTTCCAAACACTATTTTTTTTAGTACTTATGAAAAATTATAAGTTCTATAAATACTTTCAAAAAATCACTCTCAACACATTCTTAAGAGTCTATTTTCCTTATTAAATTTGGAGAATTAATATTAGTCGTCGAATTAATTTTAAAATAAAATTTAAACAGATATTAATAGCAAAAAATAAAAGTTCCTTATTAATTTTTAAAATATGATATTGTATTTTATTATATATATATATATATATATATATATATATATATATATATATATATATATATATATATATATATATATATATATATATATATATATTTGTGGAGTAAATCAAAACTTTACAAGCCATTAAAGCTTTATAAGCAAAAGAACTCAAGAGGACTTAGAGCAACTCCAATGGGATAGCTAAAAGAGGCCTGTTAGCTATTTTAGATAGTCAAACTATAAATTTTTGCTCCAACGAGCTATCTATCTCACTCGGTATTATACGTTCCCCAATATTAACTCGCTGGATCTGACAGCCGATTGTGGCTAGCTATTTCTCAACAGAAGGCATCGTCTTCATCGCCAAGATCAGTCCATAGCATCGTCTTCATGATAAAAACTCCATCGTCTGGTTGGCTCTCTTGCTTTGTCGCTCTCTCTCACAGAAACCCCATCGTCTCAACTTGGGAACTCTTCACAATCGGTGGTTCTTGGATTCTTGATCACGAACTGAGGTTGGGTTGAGAAGATCAAAAATTGAGGTAGTAAAACCCCCCAAAAATCAGCAAAACCCTAAAAAAAAATTAGCAAACCCTCTAAAAATCTAGTAAAACTCCCCAAAAATTCAACAAAATCTCTCAAAAAATCTAGAAAAACCCCTCAAAAATCTAGCAAAATCCAAAAAAAAAATTCCAGTAATATGAAGCACTTTTAGGTTTTGAAATTGCTTAAGTTTTTTGTTGAAAGTTTTATTGCCAACTTGTGGACAACCAAACACAAAAGCAGAGATTGGAATGAGTGTTAAAATATAATTTTAAATTATATTATTAAAATTTATTTAAAATTAGTTGAAATAGTTAGCTATGATGAGCCTAAAAATAACTAGGCCAGACCCAATTAATCAAGAGAGGCTCACGTCGCCTCGGAGTCCAAGTCAACAAGTCAAGGAGGAGCCCAAGCCAAGGGAAAGCCAAAGTCAAGGAGGAGTCCAAGGGGGACACTTCAAGAGGATACCCCAAAGGGGTGCCGCCCAAGGAGGGCCACCCCAAGGGGATCCTTTTCCTTCTTTGTCCTATGCTCTACACAACCTCATAGAGTCCTTCGCCCTCTTGACTTCACCACTGCAATTCAAGTCCAACCCAGCTCAGAGGTCCAACTCAACTCAGGAGGTTCAGCTCAGGATCCTCCTCCCGTTGGAATAAGAGCACGAGGAGAGAATATCAGGATACGTTCGGAGATCTAATTCTACCATAATTGTACTTACCAAAATAGTAGAAGTCATTTCCCTCACGTCATCGCCTTACTAAGCCTATATAATGTAAACCTTCTCTATATAAAGGGCATGACCTTAAGACCTGTACAAGATCCCTACACATACTACACCTCCCTATACACATTGCTCTCTCTCTCTCCCAAAAGCATTGTAACTCCTGGAGTAAACTCTCCTAGTGACTTTTATTCATCAATAAAGATCTCCAGCCACCAATGTCATTCCCGAGAGTGAAGTAAGTCACCTGGACCGAACCACTATATATCTCTGTGTTGATTCCATATTTACTATTCTGCTATTGATTGCATATCTATTACTCATTAACTGCATCTTTACACATTCTTGATTGTTGATTTTACGCAAAGCCAATTTGTGCATCATCAGTTGGGTGTCGTCTATAGGAAACAACTAGTTTTTCTACTCTTCCGATCTATGACAAGCACTACCAGATCAATGAGTCAACAACCGGGAGACAACAACCCAACCCACCCGGAGGAGGCTCTGTCTCCCCTCGCACCATCGGGACCATCTGCTGCGGCGACCCCCGTTGTCAGGCAACAGCTCCTCTAAACCATGCAGTTGTTGGTTAACCAGAACCAACTGATCATCTAACTGATGCTCGCCCAAGGGGGCGTCGCCCTTCATCCCGTGGGAGGAATCCCATTCCCTCCAACGGGAGAGGAACAACAACCTATCCCTTCTGGGCGCCAAACAGCCCCCACCATGGGGGCCCTCACCAAAATGCCTCAAGGCCATACCAAGGAGCCCCTTGCGCAGTAATCCCTCCTCAGCC